CTCATTAATTTCGTTCGCTACACGTTGTGCATCTTGAAGATAATTATTTCTATTAACATTATTTGTATATATGATAAGAGTAGAAATAACCAAAATTGTTGAATCAATAGTAAAAAATAGATTTTTCTTCCAAATGTTGATTTTTGATGGTTATAACCATTGATGGTAATAAATAGAATGTTGTTTCAAATCTATTAAAACTATTTTGGGCTTTTTAGAATCTCGATGATTAATCTCGATGATTTTAGTAAAAAATCGGAAATTAATATTTTTGCATCAACATATAATCCAGTGTATCTGAAAGGAATTTGGAATCATCTGGAACAAGCAAGTGCATTTTAGCCTGCAAACGAAAAATCTCACTCATCGTCCAAAAACGTGTTCATCGTATCCTTTGTCATAAGGTTTGCAAATAAATTTTTTTATAAGTATTATATAACTTCATTTATTTAACTTTATCTATTTATTTTCAGGTTATAATTCACAGGTTTTCACAAGTTATAAGACTTGCATCTTATATCCTATGTAATAATATCCGCATTTCTAAAGGCATATAACTCTTTACATTTCCATATCTTGTATTCATAAGTTATAAAGCATTCCACATATATGAAAGAAATCTTTCTATTAACATCCATATTTTCATAAACGTACAAACCACAAATTAAATGTGCAAGAGGAAGATTTGCACGACACGATTGGAACCTCATGGTCACGAAATGTCAAATTTTCAATCTCTTGGCAACGTTTCTGTCTGGCTGTTCTCCATCATGGCGATCGTTCGCGCGAAATGCATTTGCTGTCATCGTCCACGTATTTATATATAACGTAGTATTTTCAATTTGTTGCTCGACAGCGATACGTCACCGCTTTAAATATTACCAGAGATAACAAGAGATAAGAGAAGAGAGATAAGAGAATACATGTGTAATATCGGTCAAAGGTTACAACAATGGCGGAACAAGCACGTGACGACTGCAACATAACCTAACTACGCCCATGTATATCGAATAGAGAGATGAGATTTTAACGATCATTTTTTACACGCATTTTACACTCGATTTCAACTGCGATAAATCAGCAAAAATGACATTGTCGACTCTCGATCAAAGTGTTGTCCCTCTTCGACAGCATTCGAGACGAATTCACGCGACAAACGACGCGTCGTTGGAATAATGTATGCACGGATCGACATTTTTTTGCAAATATAACGAATGATACGTTTCGTTACACGGCGGATCTCGTAGGCGCGTTTATTTTAAGCGAAACGCATTTAGCGAATGCATCGACGACATCGAGGCAAAATTTTCATCTGTTGGATATATGGGATGGGTTAAAAACGACACTTAGGCTGATGACGTGCCTCGCGCTAAATGCTCTCAGCTGAGAAATTTCATTTTATGCGACCTGTCAAACCGATACTTTCAGGTTAAAACGAAGATCCAATAAATAGACGTTCATTACGGGGGATTTATGAAATTACGATGGACATCTCGTTACTCAAAATAGGTGGAGAATATTGAAGGGAAAAAATGTGATTCGAACGGTTAACAGCACGGTGGAAATCTTAAATGAAATCTCTCCTTTGAGGGGTACGAGATAATGGGTTGAAAGGATGAGATTACGATAAGAGATCTCTCAGCGAGATTAAAGTAATTTGAAATTGGTCCATGTAATCCGTCAGTTCTTAAAATTGACCTCGATGCGTGCCTTTCGCTAGCAATCGCTAAGCAATCGATGCTTATTTTGGCATTTGTACGTGAAAAAGTTTTAAAATAAAAAATATCAATCTTTTAATTTTGATAATAACAGTTATAGATATATTTCTTGAAATTAAATAATTTAAACGATACGTTATAGGAAAAAAAATATCTTTTGGCTTATATTCAATGCAGATCTACCAGGTAGCAAATAAATGATCGTTTAGTTTGTTTTACGGTATTTTATATTTAAGCAGAAATTTATTCTTTTTTCACCATTTTTAAATTTCAATATTATTTTAATTTTTAGAAAAAGATACTACATTCAATGATACTTATCGACATTTATCTTAATATTTTCAAATAATATTACATAAAAAAATTATACATCTATTAAAAGCTGAAGGTGACCTTAAGAACTTGAAAAAAAAAGAAAGAAATATAGACGATCTATTATAATCATTTTAAATTTTAACCCTTTCAAGCTTAGTTGGACACAGATTATGCGATTCATTTAATATATAAACTATAAAAATCTCTTAAGAGAGAATCTTCATCGATATTCCTATTTTTATTAGTAGCCATTTAATAACGTTTACGCAAATAAATAATAGATTTTCAAGCAGAAGATCATGGAATTTTGGCAATAAACTCGTGTCGATCAATTTTCAGACAACTCGCGATATGTAGAAGCCAGATTCTCCAAATTTTCGAATCAAGGAAACGTCACTCAAACATAGTATTAAATGTTGGTTAAGACAAATGTTGATGCAAAGCAAATTTGATTATGATGAATCGAGATTTGGATACGAAAATATACAAACTCGAGTATTATTGGTCGCATATAAATATAATGGTAATATGACATTTATGAAGAAGAAATATTTTTAGACAATACTACTACAACTTTAGCAACTAATACGAGTTTACAAAGAAAGATGTTCTTCATCCTGAATCCGATTGCGAATGATTTCGAAATCGTAAAAAGCTCGTTGAAAAACAATCCAACACAAGCCGAGGGTGTTATTTATTTCCATTATAATGATTGGCACTTTGCGAGACGATTCGATTCCCATTGAGATTCGAGATTTCTCCTTGAATGCACCACGAAAAATGACACAATGCATTAAGTAATCTTCGCCTATTTAACAAATGATTTAAATTTTGTGATAAAATTGCTTTGAAAATTTTATTTTTGATCGTACCAATGATACGAATATGTAGATTAGATTTAGGAGATAAAAATTCTGGTATTTTTTTTTTTAATCTGAAAAACGTGATTTGAAACGAAAAAAGAATTGATAATTCTAATTAAAAAAATTAATAATTAAAACATTTGATTATACAGATTTATATTATAATTTTAGTGAGTTCTATTCTTTTTTCTTCTCTTTCTTCTCTTTCTTTTTTTTTCAGAACTCACGTGATTAATAAATATTTCTATTCTTACAGACATATTACAAATTTCCATGAATAAACCGACAATAAATCGAATAAACAACAATTTACAAGAAATAATATCAGTTCGTTAAAAAATTAATCGTCAACATTGTAAGAGAGGGTAATTTTTATATTTATATTTTTCAATATCTACGTGTAACGATCAAAATTATCAGAAAAAATGGCGGAAAAATTACACGCAATCCCGAGTAATTTCGACATCAATCGTACGTCATTTTTGGCCGAGCAATAATTGGTACCGGTGGAATGTATTATTACACCGCGATTCGTGGCGAAAGTTGCGGCCTTATCCTTTTTGCGCTCTGCATACCAAAATTATTCTTTTGCTTTTCGAACGATTTCCATTCTATATCAAAAGCGTCCCAATCCTTTCATTTTTCGATCCGAAAAATATTTTCTCAGGCAATTTTTCCTATGTATATGTATATATATATTATTATTTTTTACATGAAAATTTTCAAGAAAGAAAAGAATTAAATTTTATTGTAAAAATATAAAAATACAGTGGAGCGATATGCGACAGAAATAATTTTGATGACGCAAATGATGGAGTGATTTTACAAGTGCGAAAGATTGTTTGTTTTCTGTTTCTTCCAAGCCGCGAGTGTCTACTTAATAAACGCCCGCGAAAAGAACGAGCACTTCGAGATCTAAAAATACGAAAGCTCCAGAACGAGTCGTCGTGGTCCCGAAAACGATATTGCGACAATATTATCGCAAATACATACGTTAAGCTGTGACCTCGTTGAAAAAACAACGAGGAACTTTTCGTTTGTTGAAAAATTTATTGGAAAAAAATTTGAAAAATTCTTAATTTTCACACGAAAATTCACAATTCATCGTTTGAAGATAAATAAAGTCCACAAGGTTATATCAAAGTTATTACAATTGAATAAAATAAAATTAAATTAATTTAAGAAAAAAACATCTTAAAATTTAATATATGTTAAATACTTTTTTGGAATATGAGCAAATAACAAAAGGTACAGCGAGAACGTTTAAAGCGACATGCAGAAAATGTGGGAATTTGTACGATTGACGGCGACAAGGTCGAAGCAAACAACGCCGACGTTGTTCACGGTCCTCGATAAATAACACGGATTCACGATGCAAGACGACGAGAGTATCGGGTTTCAACGAACCAGGAAAGAGCGGGTTTATTGGATAAAAATAAACGAAGATACCGTGGAAGAAATAGATGGGTTAACGCCGCAGAATAGTGACACTATTTTGGATGTTAGAATTAGCTACGATTACGAGCCAATTTATTAATTATTAAAGAGGTTCGAGTAGTCGATTGTTGGAAAGGAATAAGTGGAAAAAAGTTTATTTATTACGTATGGAAATCACGATATGTTTAAATCATGATTCGTTGAGAACAATATGATTTATCATGAAATTTATTTTATGGAATTTGACCTCACATTCTCTCATGACTCTGGTATGCAATCTTTGATCTCAAGGATGACGATAATTCAATTGCTAATGAACAAGAGATATCAATATATTATTAATTGGCTATTTTAACTCTTGAATGCGTATTTTCATAATTGGATATAAAAAATTAAAGAAATTTAAATATAAAAATATAGAAATCGAGAAGAATCGATTCTCTCAAGACTACTACATACATTTATTTATGCTATAAATATAAGAAACAAAGATAGAATAGAAAACTTACCGATTAGATGGTCAATAATTTACACATTTCACATTGTGTAACGTATAATCTATTGATTTAAATCGCTTGAATCATGATGCATGGCGACAAGTTTCAAATATATGGGGCCTTACGAATCAATATTTGCCCGAGAAGCGCTAATTAGATGGTTCACTCACCGTTCTCCACGTTTAACTCCGCCGCGGTTCTATACGACATAGGTCTGCCAAAGTCACTGGCGTCGCTCGGATGCAGCAACAATTGATGGGACGCCCTGGAATGATGCCTCGAGGTGGACGCCCGATGCAAGTGAACACTATTTAGGACGGTATTGCTCGAGGCACGGCTAAGCGCCTCTTTTTGTCGAACAGCCTCCTTGTAGATCTTGCAGTACATGACAATCATCACGAGACCGGGGATCCAGAAGGAGACCGAGGAACTAATCACAGCGTACGGTGGGTTCACCTCGAACGTGCATATCTGATTCACCGACACACGTGTTCAATACTTTCTCCTTGGAACGATCGAGGAGAATATATTATTTTGTGGTACATTTCTTTTTTTTCCAGAAAGATTTTTATCTTATTTTTATCGGATTTAAGAATTATAATATTTTTTGGGGGAGTAATTAATAATTAGTAATTATGAGAGAGATTCAGGCATTTTTTTTGGTATTTTAAGAGTCATATAAAATAGTAGTAAAATAATAGCGTTTCTTCAGGTCGCTTTAGGTTTGTTTTCTTATATTGGAAATATTTCTTTTATTATTTTTAAAGTTTCTGCCATTTTTCGAGATAAATCTTTTCGCTTTAATATTTGTGTTTTTTACTGTCATAAAAGTTGTGAAAACAAATTGTGAAACTTTAATAATAATATTTCGCTAATATTTTATCATGCTAGTGTTTTTATTTCATAAATTTAAAAAATTTTAAAAATAATTTCCAACTTTACTTTCGTTAATTTATTAAATAAAATATTTCGATAAACAAGTTTAAATTGAAAATTAAAAGTTTCTTGAACTACGGTATTATTCTCTAAATTGAGATATTTCTGGTTGGAAAAGAAAATTTTTATTCCGAGTTATTTTTTAAAGTGATAAAGTCTACACATTGAAACTTTATTTTAATCGAAATAATAATACAAAATGATTTATCAACGATATTTAATATTAAAAAAATTTTCTGTTAAAAAAGTATTGTCGTATATGCCATCTCTCTCATAATTACTCTACGTTGGAAAAGATTTTGAGATAGGTACATTTTTCCTTTGAGATCAATTGAAGATTTTTCAAACAGATAATTTTTTTTATTAAAACCTTCCTCTTCGCTTCTTCTGTTTCCGATGTTCTCTGTTATCTGTTGGTTTCGAGTTTTTCTCTAATTGGATTGAAAATTCTGATGTCAAATTATAAATATTGGTTGGATCACGTTTTTCTTAAAACTTTTATTAATTACGATTCGATCTTTAATTTAGTTCTAATTGGATTTTCATAGTATTTTAATTTTGACCAAATTTTTTCACATTGCATAATGATTATAAAATTCTCAATAAATTTTATATTTTATCTTCTTCTTTCAACTTCTTGTAATGTTTTAAATTTATTTATATATTCTTTTTTTAATATCCCATGAAACAATTTTTTTTTAAAATTAAATCAAGATTTTCATTTTTAATCGAGAATAATTTGAGATTAATCCTTTTCAATATTTACTCGATGTTTTTTTATTTATATTTCATCTACGAGTTTTTCTCTCCTAACTTGATGATTATTTCTTAGACGTTTAAAACTTTAATCCAAAGTTCTTCGAGAACTCTTGATTTTTCGATCTCATTAATTTTTTTCTTCTAACATTTTATCCCAACTTGTACAACTTTCGATCCACTTACTTAAATAAATTTAATTTAATTGTTTTATTCTTGTCATTCTATTATATATGTATAATCTACGATATATCATAAAATTAATATTTTATTTCGATATATGTTTTAGAAGAAGGAAAAGAGAGAAAGAAGAGAAGAATTTTGTTTAATTTTAACGAAACCTCTATTTTTATTTAAAAATAAAATGTAGTTATGGAAAAATATAGGAGAAAGGATCACTATAATGGCAATGGGTTTTTAATCAATGGAATCTATAGAAACCATTATAATCGCATAAATTTCGAAAGCACGAAAGAATTATTGTTCGAGGACAGAGAAATATGAAAGTGGAAGTCTCGGCAGAATTTCGATTAACGGAACGTCCATTGTTCGAATCGTTCATTGTACCAGGTGTATTATCGAAACAATATATTTCGTCATGCCATATTGCTCCTTCTCTCGCCAATATTTTTCACTAGATCACGATTAATCGGCAACTTATTTAACTGTGACTTCATTTGTTGGAGAATGAATTCTATGTGCATTTAATAAATGATCTTAATTTATTGTTAATATTACTTTTATATTTACTGTTATCCAATATTGAACGAAAATAAATGGAAATTTTAAAAATAGATGGAAATAAAATATTTAAATAATGAAGTGACGATAAAAAGTAAGATTTCGATATTATTGATCGAGGAAGAAATTTTTATCCGTTTTAAAAATCACACAAGAAATAATTGATAAAAAGCAATTGGAAATCAAAAGAAAGGTTTAAGAAGAAATGAATACCGATAAAATTAAAAGAAACGAAAGTATAAGATTAAAGGAAGTAAAAAGATTGAAAATGAGAACGAGAAAATTGGAGATAAAATAAAAGGAATAAACGGTAAGAAAGAAATTAAAGATAAGGTAGTAATGTGGGTGGAAGAATCAAGATCTATTATTGCAGTGAGAAAATTGA